TTTATTGTACAAGCGACCGGTTTCAATAGACCGGCGAAATTTCTCATTTTATTAAAGCACTGAGGTTAAGACAACTTCGAGTTAAACTGATTTCACCGGTTGTCAAAGAGTCTAGCGATTCCCTTTTCCCAGATGAGCGCCGACTCATTTCGCGTCAATATTCAGGAATGCTCTCGATCTCTTTACGCTTTCATTGCCTTTCGCCCGACATGTTTCGCACGGCGTTTAGTCATGCGAAACCTCCACGAAACATCCACGCAGCGCGCGAGGTAACTTTATCCCGATTCTAAAAATAACTCGAGACGAATAACCTATGGAATAGGGTGTGTATGGGGGATGCCTTCTCTGTCCCCTTTATCCTCTCTTGACTTTCTTTGATTGCCTCAGCTATAACGCAAAAAGAGCGGTCAGCAGACTTGTATCATGTCACGTGACCAGGTTGAGAATTGTCTACAGCCAATTTTAAGGTGTTTTTATTTTGTCTTTATGCGTTGTTAACATAATTGTATAATCATTGGAAGAAAAAGACATCTTTTAAAAGGTCCAGAAAGGAACAAATATGTTCGCTTCCTAGTTTACTTGTAATACTCCTATCGCTAGAATTCCTTCGAATATTTTCTATCTTCGTTCCGAAATCTTAACATTAAAATAATGTTTTAATTGTTGTGCCTGATTTACCTTAAGTAAATTCTCGATGCAAATATTTGCGGTGTGATGTTTCGTAATAAAAGTTAATGTCGATATTTCCGAAGTTATCTAAAAAGATAACTGTCCTCATTCCAATTGAACAGAAATTTAGCTAAAATCACAAGAAGTGAATTCATTTTAATTTTGCTTTTAACTTTTAAGCGATGCGGTTTCCTCGATTCAGTTGTATTCTTTTATTCTATTTCAAAAATGTCTTTTGAGATAAATTGGAGCGTTTCTGGTCCGGGAATGGCCTCTAAGGAAGGCGATCAGACAAAGTTATCGCTTGACTGTTGCAGTTTGTCGGAAATGCCCTGAAACACCACAAGCAATAGATCGTTTTTAAACCCTTGGCTGATTCTTGATTGATTTGATTAAGAAATACGCTGAGATCCTTGTCTCGAAAAAAGTAAAGTTATCTAAAGATGTAGTGGAGTTTTCAACTGTAAATCGTTTTATCTCTAAAATTTGACCAATATGCTTTTTATAAACATTTGACTTGAGATGCCTTCTCTGATAACAAAATAATAATAAAAAAAAACATTAGTTAGGTTTTGAAAAAAGTGTTAGCACTCAATCGAGAATCGTCCCCTTTCAAATTCACGTTTGAAAAATTTATTTGGTTGGCTATGTAGTACATTATGTTAACGTCATTAGCAAATTAAAGTGAAAATCGCTTTGAAAGCGTTATCCTATTTGAGAAATTCTTATAACCTAACCAGTGTCTCATATTAAAGATATGGCATAGAGATTAGGATATTAAATATTCTACTCCTCTTTTTCGGCTTCCCTTGAAGATTAAACCAACACAACACGAAAAAGGAGAAGGAGAAGAAATATTTCTCGGAAGGGTGTTTTACAATATTTCGAAGCTTCTAAATGCTTAGAACTTTTAAAGTTGAGACGTACAGAGAAAGCTGTTTGGCATTTATTATTAATGGTCACATGCGTTGACCTAAATGAGTTTCAATTATCGAAAGAGGAGAAATATCATTGGAGCAAAGGTACAAGTCTTAGTATATTGTACAGTAAATCTTTTTTCTTAAGTGATAATGCTTTAAATCGCGGTCTCTGTTGTGACAACACTTTGGACGGCAGGAATGTCTTCTGTTCGAGTTATATAAAATACAGAATAGTCCAAGAAAAAAATGCGCCGTCTGACATTTCTTTTCCAAGGAGTGTTATTGTTGATATCGTTCAACGAGCTGTCTCTGTTCCAGAATGGTAAGACTTAGCTTCTCTTTGTTTTCTTAGGATTTAACTAGAGTATTTAAGAGTGGGTCATATTGTGTATCTCCTTTCACTAAACAAGAGACTTGAAAAATTGTTTTACCACAGACACGCAAATCACGAAATTGGCCGGAAAGTGTTTAAAATGCTTATGGCGCTCCTTTAGTTTGCATGTGTGGAGAAACAAGATTACATGTCGTAAATCTCCTATGTGTTGCATTCCTCTAAAGCAGCAAGAAATTCAGATACGGGAACTTTCAATGTCTCGTCGCCTACGTCATTCCAGTGTCTGACCAAGAAATGTTTCACCGATTTTTTTAAAGCATCGCTCCTTTTTCCATGATTATTCAAAGAGTTTGCGTCTGATGATTGAACCAGATGAATATAATGACAGATTTTCCTCAAATTTTTGAAAGCGACATTTTCTTTGGTGTTCATTGCAACCATTCAGTTTCTTTTAATCGAGAAGTACTCCGTAAAACCCAGGGTAATAGCTAAGAAGTTTTAGTTTACAAGTAAGACCTTTTTCCACCGACGTGCAGTCGCTTTCAGGGCACGAAATTTTGGAGGCTCTTTTGCACACTGGTATATTTCTGAGGCAAAAATTTATGAAGAAATAGTGACTTAAATTAAGAAAAACATCATCCCTGAGGTGAGAATGAACACTAAAAGATTGTTCTTCTATTATTAGTTTCCAAATCAAGATAGCGGCTTTAGCTTGCCTAATTAGCCACGCTCGTTTTATATACTCTAAGCCCGACCGCTTCTCCTTGATAACGAATTTAATGACGCGCATTCTTACCGGTGATATCAAATTTGCTATGTGAGTTTATTATCTTGATTTATGGCGCCTTTCTCTAAAACTCTAATTTCCTTTCAAGAAGAGCGCCAAAAGTATTGGGTTTTGGTTCATTTACTGATGAGCTCATAATCTAACTTGAGACTTCATGTAAAGATCTAATGTTATGAATTAGATATCTGGACGAATGTTAGCACTTGCGGTATTCTTAAGTCTGCAGAACACAAATAAATTTGATTGAACTCTAGGCGTGATGACAAAAAGCTGTTAAGGGGCAACTTCCGGATGCGAAGGGAGTGGGCTTTGAGTTACATAGAGGATATTTTGACTATAGTGGTCTGACTTGACATGAATGGATTTTAAGAAAGCCGCACATTGAAACAGTACGAGGTCGTAATTTTATTTTGGATCCAAAAATTTCGAGGAGATTCCCCTCCGGACTGTAACAATTTTTTTTTTTGCGGGGGGAGGGGAGGAGAAAAGGTGCCTTTTAAGTAAATTTTCTTGACTGTGAACGGAAAGTTCACTACCACTAAATCTCATTACTTACAGATTTTCCATTATTTAATGAACGGCCTAGAACACGCTTAAAAACTCCGACATGTTACAAATTTGACAACGAAACACAAGGTCCAGAGGAGATGTGTTTGTCGTTAGAACATCAAAACCCGTCGAAAACCTCTGAAAAATGGGTTATTTTGACCGCGTTACAGTTTCGTTACACATTCTATAGACCGCAAACCAAGAGACTGAGGGCTCGCAAGATCGGCTTACAGTATAAAATACAAAATCTACCTATTGTAAGCTGTTCCTTCGGGATTTTTTGTGTTTTACGTTATCTAACCATTTCGTACTTGCCGGCGCAAGCAATAGAAACGTCATCATTACCAACCGATTCCTCGCGGCCCCTGTTCAAGCAAATCGAGATTTTTTCTATATTGACTGTATGACTGTATATTTCAACTGTAAGTACTTTCCTTAATATACGCGCGAGTTGCTAGATAGCCTCCCACGCAGGCGCTTTTAGGGGAGCTCGTTTTTCATCCCTCCCCAAAAACGAGCTCCCCTAAAAACGCCTGCGTGGGAGGCTAGTTACTAGAGTGCCTCCTCGGGATTTCGCCTTCTGGGCGAAATCCCTGCGGGAGCAATAAAAACTTGGAGAGTTTGCCAGACACGAGTTCACAAATCTTTTATTGGAAACCTTGCCAGACACTCTTTCTCTCTCTATGACCGGAATAAAACTCAGCCCCAAACAAGCAAGACGAGTGAGCAACGTCTAGCTTATCACTAGAAGAACGACGGACGATTACAGAAAAATCACCGACAATCAAATTCTGTACTGACTTATTCCCTGCTCACAGGTGTACTTCCGTTATAAAGTTTAAAATAAGACTAGACTGCGCGAGCGGGAATTGATCAAACGTCCTTTTAAATTCTAAGGCTTGCTTTCCGGCAGATGAAATGAACCGAATGTAAAAAGTGAAAGTGAAATAGCGAAAAAATTAAACTTTTAATTAAATCTTTTCTTATGGTTTAGAATAAACTATTCTCGAAACTGAGAATGTTTTGATCAAAGCTGTGTAAATCGAACTGTCTGAAACTGTGCATGGAACCTTGCCGGTTTCCTGTATTTATCTCACCTATTGTATGGAATATGTGTGAAAATCTTCCTTATGAATCGGCATATTTCAAAGAGCTACACAACGAGCAAGAATGCTATTGACCGACAATATTCAGAGCGGTGGCAGCTGTAGTGTCAACTATTACTAGTTATAAGAATATAAACGGAGGCTTCGCCTTTAGCCCTGGCTATATCTATATTATTATCTAGCATTCTCTTTGGTGTAGATGTTTTATCTTGCAATTTTTCCCAAGCTAAGAGCCATTGTTAAGCCCCAGTATCAAGTAAAAAGGAATACCTTAAACCAAATATGATTAACCAAAAAGTATGATAAGTGAAAATAATGGTCAGTCATTTAAGCAATTATTGCTAGAGATAAGTCGGGGTGTAGCCTGCGTAGCAAGCGTTTCCAATCGTGTTATTATTATATTAATATTAGTTATTATTAAAAACAACTAAAGCAACAACAACAAAAATCCTCTTTTTCCCATTCGTCCCAACTCACATGGAAATGGTTGCTACGCAGACTATGCCAGGTTAAGAAAAATTTCATTGTTAAGATAAGTGATTTCATTGAAATAGCATGAAACTGTTATCTCTAAAACAGCTAAGCATCAAGTCAACGCTAGAATTCTCAGCAAACATACCTGCCAAAACAACGTCATGAGGATTGACTGTGGCTGGATGGTTATCAAAATTTACTCGGCAGAATATTCACGTTCGAATCCCAAAATATGTTCAGATGGATCCAACACACAAGAGTCCTGCTCCCCTGTGATGAAAACCAAGGAAGTCAAAAGACTTTGTGGTGGAAAAGCTGCGTGTAATATCAGTGTCGACGAGAAAATGATGGGTGACCCTTGTCCTGACATCAACACTGAGTATCTGAATGTCTTATATTTATGCCGTAAGTGGTTTGAATCGGTGAATGCTACAATACTAGTCATACTTACACTGTATTCTTATTTTTCCTTTAATGAAATGTGATCATTTAATGAACGATCTTTAAAATCAGGTAGGCTAATGAAGGGTGTATCTGATCTCCATCACACAGAAAACGTAGTTCTTAAGCTATGTGCAAACGGACGCAACTAATCCCAACGCCTAACAATGTTGGGAGTTGTTACGTCCGTGTTGGCAGTGGTGTGCAAACGGATGTAACAACCCCGGGGGGGTAATCCCTTATAAGGGCTTAATGGGGACGTGCGGCCAGCCAGGGTATGTTTTTCGGGATTTTTGTCTTAAACAGGGTATTGAATTTATCATTTTCTGTCTTAATCAGGGTATCGATCCATCAATTTTTGTCTCAAACAGGATAAATGTCTTAAACAGGGTATCAAAAATCGGAATTCTGTCTTAAACAGGGTAGGAAAATCAGCGATATTTGTCTTAAACAGGGTCAGGGTATGAGGGGCCGCGCCGCACCTCCCCACCCAGGGATATATCGAGTACCCCCTCCCCCCCGGGGGTAACAGCTCCCAAAAATGTTGGTACCTGCAGCTCGTCGTGGGAAGGATACAACCCAAAGACGTTGCAAATTCCAAGGAAACTATGTGTAGCGTGCGTGCCTGGCCCCTACAATGTTGAAAGAGCTATGGAAAAAGATCCAACATTGTTCCGCAAGACTTTTACGATCACGGAACAAAAGAAATGTTGGGAAGTGTTGGCACAAAAGTTTGACCGGTTTCAAACTTTGCTCAACAACTCCCAAAACACGAAAAAACATTCAATAATTAACATGCAACAGGGTGTGCGGTAGTTGTTGGCCAACAATGTTGCGCTCTCTTGCACGGGGCTTTAGGGAAGCGGTTGTTGCCGGTGCAGTTGTTTCTTTCGTAAGCGGTGGTTACCATTTTTAAGACATTTAGAAACTTGTTGACCTGGTATTGAGAGTGTTCCTAATAAAAAGAAAGAAAATCTCAACCCAGGGTCGAATCCGAACCTTTCGTATCCTAATCTCTCTCCCTTACCATTACATTACAACACCGACCAACCAAAATTCCGAAAAAATTAATTGCATAAAATGGCAAGCTGTCTTTCTTAAAGCCCTATGCAAACAGACGCAACATGGTTAGCCAGCAACTCCAAACATTGTTGGATGTTACCATTGGCGGATCCGGACCTTTAGATAAGAAGGGCGGGGTGGGGAGTTGTGGGGCGGATGTTGCATTCGTTTGCACACCCTGTTGCATGTTATTGAGAGTTATTGCGCTAATTTTGCGACCGATCAAACTTTTAGCGGCGTGCAAAACGGATGAAACAACTTCCACCATTGCTGGGTCAACAATGTTGGGAGTTGCCATTTGCACGTAGCCTAACTGTTACATCAATGACTGGTGACCCAAGCCCTTTTCATAACTTTCAAAGTAAATTCAACTTGAGCTTCAACGTCTTTCTTTCTAAGACTATTCAAAAAACGTATTATTTGCTTTATTTTAACTTAATTCAGGGAATTTATCACATCTATCATGACTTTAAAATGGCAAAGACCGTTTACGACTGAAGCTCACGCAAAGATCGGTGATTTCAGTGGAATTTCTGTAACGGAGTAGAGCTGCCCTTCGTTGATCTCGAAACGGTGTATCTATCGTCATGACATACCGATTAGGTCTCTGCCACGTTCTCTTCGTCGTTATCTGAACACTTATTCATACCAATGAGCTGTGAATACAAGTTCCGTTACACACGTGACTTGGTCACTATAAGTAGAGACCAAAAGAAAAGTCAGAGGTCATTGAAAGAGCGTCATCTTATAACGCCGAGAACGGAGGTGTTTTTGTGAGCTTTCCCGATAAATTTGGGTTTCTGGGAAACTGCTCACATACCCCTCCCCTAAGTTAACATTAACTCTGACTTCTCACTTAGCGCAAAATGTTGGGTTAGGGGAGGGGTAGGTGGGCAGTTTCCCAGAAACCTAAATTGATCCAGCTTTTCCCCTATTTTTATGCGGACGAAAAGAAAAAAAAAATTGGGATTCGTGTGGACGGTGTCTCTCGGTGTTTCTCCCGGAAGTTGTTGTCTACGAGATGTATAGTCATGTGCGCTTGATTTGAATCTTGGCATGTTGTAAGAGCATGCTGGGGTATTATCATGGCGAGTGAGTAAAGTTTTTTTGTTGAGTTTAATCTCGCGTATTAAGTGCCATCTGTCGCGAATCGTTACAGGAGAGGTCTTAGAGGCGAAAAAGGTAGCTTCATAAGATTTCTTTCTTTGCTTTCTTAATTTCTTGGGGGGTTTCAAAAGTTGATTCGATTTAATGGCCTTTTTAAAACATTTGATGTTTAAACTCTTGATTTAGTTAAGCACGCCCCTAAAATAAGCTAGATGAGTTTGGGGTTGTACAAGACCGGGTTATCCTCCTCGTCTGCTTTTCACTTGTGAATAAAGAGTTTATTATTGTTAAAATTATTATTATTATTATTATTATTATTGTCATCAGCCCACTGATGAAGTCAATATACTTTCTCTTATAGACGAGCCACCTAACAAGTCTACGATGGTTTTAACAACGCCATCCACTCCCTCCCATCCCTTAAGTAAAACTACAACACCTAGCTTATCAAGTGGAACAATTTCAAGCAAACCGACCGAACACAAAGAAGAAGATGACGAAGAAAGAGATGACGAACAAGAAGATGAGGAAGGTTCTGAGGGTGACGTCTCTGCTGAAGTTGTACATTTCGTTTTATTTGGTGGAGCTTACATTAGCACATATCCTACTATCTTTACTATCCTACAGATCTTAATTGTAATTAACTTGTGAACGATTTTGAATGGGCTAATGCCCCGCAAGGTTCAGGTTCATAAACGCTCTTTGAGATCTTTTTTTTGTTTTGTTTCCTTTTCCGGTTTGCATTTGTCGTAGAACGAAGGAGCATGCGTAAAAGGTGCAATCTGCAACCACACGGTCGATTGCAGTGGAACCGAAGATAATATAGTAAACATCAAGTTACACAGTTATACCGGAAAAGCGAAGGGAAATTAATCTAAACACCCCTTGCAAACTTTTGCCAAGGACTGTGGAGTGGTCATATAAAGGAAAAATATAATTAAAACGAATTCAAAAATGTGCAACATCGTTACGCATACACGTATGTGTTGTTAAAAATGTTAGCCATCCACCGAAAGTATTGTGCGCAATAACTCACTTATTTCAGGTACTAACGGAACTGAAAATTATTAAGTTTTTTTTTGCAGGTCAGTGTTTTTTTGTCATTAGCATTTCCTTTCTTAGTATCTAGTTTTGAAGATATCTTCGTTCTCGTATTTCCTCTGTGCCGGAACAAGCAAAGTAAACAAAGAAACAAAAAAACAAGCAAACAAACAATCCAAAAAATTATTTCTTTTAGACTTTTTTAAGTTTTCAAATTAGTGCCAGCTTGGTCTACGTTGACTTCGAGAAAATTTCGGGTTGGCAACTTTTAAAGTATATAATTCCACGAAAGAAAAATTATTACTTTCGTGATTGCGGTGAACCCTAACATATCTCCACATATCACTGACACTTTTTGCACCAGGAGACAATTTGTTGAGTTAAAATTTGTCACGTTTCAAAGGCCAAAATTGCAGTTTTAGTAACACACGGTTAACTGTAGATTAAACTTAACTTTAATTCTTACAACAGCACAACCTTAAGCCCGGCAGCCACGAAGAGACCGAGCTGTAATAGCGGTTAAGTGGATTGAGTTGGGGGAGTGGTCCTTTCTTTTATATAACGTCAGTGCCAGGATAAGTAAGTACCAGTTGCTAGACACTGGAAAACTGCAAGAGTTTTGAAGACGATATGTACTGAAAGCGTCCTCGTTAATGATGAAAGTGATCTGGGCTGAACTTCAAATAAATAGTGTTTGAAAGACAGAAAGCTACTTGCTTTTTATCTCCTTATTGCATCAAATTATTGTTCGTATCAGCACCAGTATAAGCTAGTATACTAAACACGCATCTTCCATCTATCTTAACCAGGCAAATAAGGTTTCTGCTATGAAATGTCTCAATCAAAGACAATAGGTACTATCACACGAAGCAAGCTTTTTGTTTGTGGTTTCAAATGGTCAAAGGTAGGTAGTCCATCTGACGCACGAAAAAAATTAGTTAGTACAGTCCTGTCCTCGATTGGTAAAAAAGAATGCTAAACATAACTACACTTCACCAGTCAAAAACTGTAATTTTACCCTCGATTTTTCAAACCTCTAGTAGAATCCTGATTTCTCTAAAGCTTGATTTTTCAAACCTCCTACCCTGTTAATGCGATCCACTTTTTTTTCTCACGGTGGCTAGAAAAATCAGTTTTCCACTGTAGAAGGTTCTGAGGACCCGCCCACCTTCGCCGCCCGACCGTAAAGTTATCACTCACTTCTTACTTTGGCAAAATTTTGGATTTGGGGAGGGCAGGTTTCACTTTTTTTCCTTACTAATCTGCCCGTCTTAAAGAAGGATAATGCATCATGGGTACTTTCTTTGTTACCCGTCTACCGACACAAGCCTTGATAAAACTAGTCATTTCTAACTGAGGTATAGACACAGTGAAAATGGTTAGATAGCAAATTTACAAAAAAAAAAAAGAAAATTTGAGAGTCGAGTTACAAATTACCCAAATCTGCACTTGACTCCGAGTTTGAGGGGAATGATTCAAAAGAAATTAATTATTAATACCTGAATTTTTATGCGGTTTCTTTTTCTTTTAATTCCCCTCACCCTCGCAACCATGTGCGAATTTAATTATTCGAAACTCGCCTATTGCGATAAGAAAGTTTATTGAAGCAATTACTTGTGCTCCGGAAGTGGCTTTTTTTTCTCAAAAGGGATTGCCAGTTTAATAGACAGAAAATGATTCTATATCACGTACAATTGATTAATAGTATTGTAATCGATTTAAATCACCTGTGTATTTTATAATCATAGAAAAATAAGTTCTAGTACGTATTACGGGCTTCAAATATTCAAAACAATGAATTTGAGTTACTTGAACCGATGGGAGTGCATTCACTTTTACCTTAAAATGGACCAAAAACTAATGGCCGTTCTTGTCGATAATTTTGCTACTGTGATTATGATCTTACTGTATGATTTACACAACTTCGTTAATTATAGATAAAAGCCAGGCAGTGTGCGTCACGAGATTCGAACAATAGAATGCGTTATTTGTAGAGTGATTTTCGCGCTTGGGAAGAGCCGTTTTCAGAAGTGTATATGGCGAAAATTTCGCTTTATTCCAAGATTGTGTAGGTAATTTCCACCCTATACGGTCGTGGAAAGTTGTTGAAACACTTTATCTTAGTAGTAGTTACGTTACTTTAAATATTGTGCTTTCTTAAGCGTTTGTGACAAGTTTGAATTGCTCGGTCATGTACAAGCCGCCATGATGATTTGAGTGTTGTTTTTGCCGTTCTTCTTGGATCCATTGCTGGCTACTGTTAGCGGTTTTATCGGATTTTTTTGGTCATCGTGTTTCTTCAACTCTTCTTCTTTACAAATTTTGGGGTCTACCCGGATCTACCTCTGACAGTGTTGCCGTTATGAGGCGTTTAAAGTGTCTTGGAATTAAAAGATCGTCTCAACCAAGTAGCACAGCTCCCGGGAAACGGGCTGAGAAAACATGCCGAAGCGGAAGCCGACGTGAAGCGAGAAACGCTAAATCCAGTAAGAGTTTGTTCCATTTTAAACCGGAAAAGGTAAATAAGTTTGAATATTGTAATGACCTTTGGAAACAAAACATTTTTCATAACCCAGTGGGGAAACTGAAAGCGTAACTGTAAAATAATTGGCATGTAGTGTTTGCTATGTATATGCAAATCTTTATGTAAGCTTTACGTGAGGGATTAAATTCTTCACGTAATTATTGCATCCTTTAACCTCACACTTCAGTGCTTTTTCTTCGCATGTAAAGTGGTGTACTGGAACATGAGAACTGAAAATAAAGTCATCCTCAACTGACTGCCTGGCAAGATCATTGGAAATATAAGACGAGGGACTTTCAATTAAGAGACTTTGTATCAAAGCGATAGTGAGTACAATCGACAACACCTTGATAACTTTTGTTCAGTAGTCTTTCTTAAACCAAGATAGATTTGATATTTGAAAAGAGGTAAAGAGGAAAAAAGGAGTGTTTCTGAGTTGATATTTTTCTGAGCTACTCAGTTAACTTTTAAATGCAAACCGTTGTTTATGCTATATTTTCCCTTTTTTACGTCCTCAACAAACAAAACTGTCTACTGCGTACACTTTTTGAGCTAACGACTTAAAATAAGGACCCTTTGCCCCTCATAACAACACAAACTTCCTTTAAAACCTTTAAGCGCAAATGACTTGAGAATAAGGCAAGAACACGCAGAAGAGCCGTTAAGCACTCCGCTTGAATTTTCCAAACCAGAAAGCTGGTTGATAAGTTGGAAACAACCCGTGCCTTGGCGGTTAAATATGGCGATGTAAGATTAAATTTTTTATTTTTCATAGGGGAAAACAACGAAAAAACCAAGAAGAAGCGTAAAAGGAGGAAGAAGTCAAAGAATGAAGTGGGCACAGAATGATGCTTGGCAGTTTTTAATTTCCGATTGTTTAAGTGTTTAATTTTTAATAGGAAGAGAGAAAAGAAATGAGAGATTATATGGGCAGGCGGGTTACCTCACCTTCCTGGGATCCTCCCACCTTCATGAAAAAAGGCCCTAAGAGTTCAAATTTGACATTTTGCCAGTTGCCTTTCACGATTACAACAGTATAATGCGTTTCTGATTTGAAGTGGGAATTTTGCAAATTTTACATCATAGTTTTCGCATGCACAACTAATGCCATCTGTATGATCATCGTCAAATAAATTAGAAAATGTATTAATTTAAATACATTATCAGTATCATGACGAAAGAGCTTTCCCCATTAGGTTCTTGGCTAATTTTGACTTGCCGATGAACTTACTTAAAAAGTAGGGTTACATTTTTTTTTTTAATTTAAGGCAAGCTTAGTGCTAAATAAAGGGACAACAAAAATTATACCGTCTATGCGTCTATTCTGAATTTAATTCGTAAGTGCGACGAGGAAAGCCCATGACCTGATAGTAGAAACTGAATATATTGGGGTTTTATATATTATAGTAAGGGTAATTTTTCAGTTTCGTTGCCACGTTCTCTTCGTCGTTATCTGAACACTTATTCATACCAATGAGCTGTGAATACAAGTTCCGTTACACACGTGACTTGGTCACTATAAGTAGAGACCAAAAGAAAAGTCAGAGGTCATTGAAAGAGCGTCATCTTATAACGCCGAGAACGGAGGTGTTTTTGTGAGCTTTCCCGATAAATTTGGGTTTCTGGGAAACTGCTCACATACCCCTCCCCTAAGTTAACATTAACTCTGACTTCTCACTTAGCGCAAAATGTTGGGTTAGGGGAGGGGTAGGTGGGCAGTTTCCCAGAAACCTAAATTGATCCAGCTTTTCCCCTATTTTTATGCGGACGAAAAGAAAAAAAAAATTGGGATTCGTGTGGACGGTGTCTCTCGGTGTTTCTCCCGGAAGTTGTTGTCTACGAGATGTATAGTCATGTGCGCTTGATTTGAATCTTGGCATGTTGTAAGAGCATGCTGGGGTATTATCATGGCGAGTGAGTAAAGTTTTTTTGTTGAGTTTAATCTCGCGTATTAAGTGCCATCTGTCGCGAATCGTTACAGGAGAGGTCTTAGAGGCGAAAAAGGTAGCTTCATAAGATTTCTTTCTTTGCTTTCTTAATTTCTTGGGGGGTTTCAAAAGTTGATTCGATTTAATGGCCTTTTTAA